TCATTTATATAAACAAGGGTGAACAAGATTGAAAGGTTACAACTATTCCGAATATTACTTACATCATATAATACCACATTAGTTACTTCGCCTAGCTTCTGACATTCTTCGCGGATGTCCTCTTTCAAATCCAAGATTAAACTAACATCGTTCTAATTTATAGAATATTCTGACTTATTGCAAATATGGAATTCTCAATTTAATAAATTATAAAATTTAAATGCCTCACATACCTCCAATTCTTCCAATGTAAACATATACTTCAGAATTACAATTTTACTATATCTTTCAGCTTTTTTTCCTGGTTCACTTTCAAACCAATCCAATTTTCTAGTATTTAATGAAATTTAAAATTAAAAAAATAACTCTGAACAAAAAAAAAAATAACTCTGAACAATATCGCGTTAGAATTAACTACAAAGCTGACTACTTTTCAAGCTGATGCAATTTTTTCTGGACTTTTTTCTTATCTGGCTTTACTGATGTGCTATTATTGGTGTCTTCTGGTTTTGGCATCTTCTCCTTAAATTGCGCCTGGATTGATAGAAAGATAAAATATATAAAATTTCAATTATAGCAAGAAAATAAGAAAGTATTTAATACCTTTTGTACTCTTATTTTAGAGGCCTCATTCGGACGAAGATCTGTTTCATCTAAAAGCTGACAAGCAAGATCAACTGATTCCTCCCTAAGATAAGTCACGAGAGCGTCACCTTTTAGGCGATCATGGTCATCTTTGTAAAGTTTAATTTTTGGTCCACCTAAGACATATTTCCTTGTATTAAGCATCGTAACATTTATAATACGGGACGAACTTAAGGATTAAGTAAACTACCGGTGTTCAAGTCTTCTAGCAAAACACCGCACTTTGAGAAAACTTCCGCTAATTCCTCAACAGTAATGTCAGGTGGTAGCCCGCTGACGTACACAGAAGTATTTGCTGGTTTTTTCTTTTGTGATTTTTGTTTTTTGCCATTCTGATCAGTCTTAAATCGTGAATCGGATATTGATTAGTCACTCGTTTGAATTGGATTAAACAGAGAATCATATAGTACACATACATCATCGGCAGTGTAAACTTTTTTTCGTTTTTCTCGTACCAATGGATTAGCAGGTTCCTTTGGTGGCGGACACAAAAACACAGAAAATTCGTTTCGTGTTGTCATTTGAAGTGACCAAATTTTTACTGTATCATGGTAAAGTATCTTACGCTTTCGTCGACACCAGGAACTGAATATGCGAGTTGTTGGAGCTTCAACAAAACTTCTTCGTCCTATTTTAGAGATTTGCTGGTTGTTAATACCTTTTTCAAGGAATTACTTATCACAGAGCTAGGGACTTGCCATTTGGAACCATTGCTGTTGTTCTTCATTATATTCCCAAGTATTCCCATCCTCGCTTGTATACGTCCATTTTCCTGTTTCCTCAACAAAGTGCATGTGTGGATCAGAAGCAAAGTCTGAAACAGAGGGCAGAGCTTGGCTTGTTTCTTTTGCAAGCACCTTGTTCTTTATAGAGTCGCTCATCGACATCGATAATTATTTGTTGGAAAAAATGGGAAATTGTATTTTACCCAGTACAGGGAAGCAAGTTGAAATTAATAACGATCATCTTTTTATATCTCGATCTCAATCATGTGATTTTGGTACGATTTGAAAACTACCTAAAAATAAAGCCGGGTTAAAAAAAGTTACGTTTTTGATGTTTTAGGTGTTACCTTTTTGATACAGTTAAGGTTAGTAAGTTATTTATATATCAAGAATACAATTTATGCAGCATGTAGATCTTTTTATGAAATCTGCCCCGCTTTAAGGGCCCCCCTTT